ACTCAAGGTGCGGCCTCACCAGTGCCCAGTACAGGGGCACCATCACCTCCCTGGTCCTGCTGGCCACACTATTCCTGATACAGTCCAGGATGCCATTGGCCCTCTTGGCCACCTGGGCACACTGCTGGCTCATGTTCAGCCGGCTGTTGACCAACACCCCCAGGTCCTTTTCCGCCAGGCAGCTCTCCAGCCACTCCTCCCCAAGCCTGTAGCGGTGCCTGGGGTTGTTGTGGCCCAAGTGCAGGACCCGGCACTGAGCCTTGTTGAATCTCATACAGTTGGCCCTGGCCCATCGCTCCAGCCTGGCCAGGTCCCTCTGCAGGGCCTTCCTACCCTCCAGCAGATCGACACTCCCACCCAGATGGGTGTCACCTGCAAACTTACTGAGGGTGCACTCGATCCCCTCATCCAGATCATCAATGAAGATACTGAACAGGACCGGCCCCAACACTGAGCCCTGGGGAACACCACTCGTGACCGGCCGCCAACTGGATTTGACTCCGTTAACCGCCACTCTCTGGGCTCAGCCGTCCAGCCAGTTTTTAACCCAGCGCTGAGTGCATTTATCCAAATATTGTAGGTCATTAGAGAGAACCGTCGTGTTAGCAGCCCTGTCTAAGGGGAAAGAGCCTTAGAAACTGAAGCTTAAAGCCACACACGATTTAAAACCAGTCATGCCAAACAATACAAGCATTATATTCAAAGCAGATGATGTAGATGGTGTTCTAGGTATTTAATAACACAACAACAGAATTCTCGCCTCCTCAAAAGGAGTGACAGCCCAGAGTATCTACTCTCTAGAGATAGTTTCATGCGATCACCAGCGTTGATAGGAAATGACTGTCAGTTGTGTTTTACCTTCTTTCTCTCTTTCTCCAGAGCTCTCCACTGCTCATAACACTCCTCCAGTCGGATATGAAGCTCATTAGCAGGTCCACTGCGATTTCTTGGAGGTCTGTACTTGTTAAATGGTGTTGGAAAGGCAAAATATGGCGCGGCTATTTCCCCACAAAACAGATCGTTGATGAAGGGATTCAAGTGGTTAAAGTCATCATAATGAAAAAGATCAACAAGTTCTGAGAATGGAAATGGTGACGGAGAAAAACTGAAATTGTTTGCTGATGAAAACAGATGGTGATTAAATGGAGGAAAGGTGGGATTTTGCTTAAAATCAGACATTAATGGGAAAGAAGGAAAAAAAGAAGGATTAATGAAGTCTGACATACTACCACCATTCTGTTCATGCTTTTTTCGGAACATATTGAACTGCTGACGGTTTGGGGTTGTATACCCAAAATGAGGAATCCAATTCCTTTTGCCCCTTCTATCATCTTTATTACTATTTTCTTGGGCCTGCTTTTTTGGAAATCTGTGGTATTTTTCAGCGTCTTCACTTACAGCATTCTGCTGCGTTAACCAGTCAGATGAAAAATTAATGGGGAATTTACGGTATTGCCCCTCCTTATTAGTCAATGAATCATGCTGTGATCGTCCAATGGGTTTCATTTGCTTCTGATTTTCTGAGATGAAATTAGAAACTCCCAAATGATTGGAAACACCGTTTGATATTTGTAACCTTCCATCTTTCCTTGAAGGGAGGACAGGCGAGATCTGAGAGTAGTAAGAGGACTGTGTTATAGACTGATGGGTGGGAGAACCACTGGACATGGTTGAAACCCCTGAAGACGACTGCGGACTTGTTACCACTTGCTTTCCATACGTGACATCCGAAGCAGCTGTCGGACTTGCAGTTTTCCCATCCAGCCATGTACGTCCATGGTACAATGAATAGCTCCCATTTTGCATAACATTTTTTACAGAGAAATCGTATTCAGAAACTCTATGAGAGCACTCTTTAGGACTAATATGGATCTTACATTCATTATTATTAAAAGCATCCCCCGCAGTAAAGCTATGATGGCCATTCTGCACGTGGGTTTCCTGTGGTTTTCTGTTTGTCCCTCCAGAAAAATTATTTTCTTTAGGGGGTTGATTGAAAAAATATAGTGATGGATAAACAGATGACTGCAATTTATGAGCAGCTGTGAAGTTTTCATATCTCTTAGAAAACAAGTGGTTGTCCTGGGACACTTTATCCCAAGAGTCATCAACAGGCTGACTGGAAAGATCAGAGGAATACTTAGTTTGTTCTTGAGCATCATTTTTCACAACTTTGCCTCTTGCTGTTTCAGTTTTCCAATACTCTTTCTGAACACTACTGCCTTCTTTCATTCTGTTCTGAGAAGAAAAAGTGCTAAAATTGGAACCGATTTTCTCATAGTCTCCATTTAACCTCATGTGGTCGTAACTGCACAAATGCTGACTACAGTCTACATTTTGAAATGAAAACCCTTCTGGGTGAATTGTATTATTATTTTGCAAAGAGGAATTCTCAGGGTAACTGTTCTTCAGAACATTATCAGGCTGAGTGCAAGGGCCAGACGGAGAAAGCCAAGACTCTATGAAATGAAGATCTTCCAAACCTCTGTGTAACATCTCCACATCATGAGACTTTTGCAGGTGTTCCTGATAGTAGTTCTGTGTGCCCAGCAGGTTTGCAAAATCCTTACTTTCAACAGAGTGCTTAGATGAGAGCCATGAGAATTCACCATTGCTTCCAAGATCAGGTGCCCACATAGGCGGAAACAATCTTGAAAGAGAATTCCTGTAACAAAGTTAAACAAGCCTCCTGTAAAGATTTAGAACATTTCCCCCCCCCATTTCCCCTGTTACATTCTTGGCTGGACATACACAGCCCTCCTCCAAAATATAAGGGGAGGGAAAAATTATTCCCACTGCAGTCGAGTAAATGCTATGTGAAATCTGACTACCAATGCTGATCTCTAATGTCTTTAATATGTATATTCAGAACTGCAGAGTCTATTTGGATCTATTAAATATTTAGATTCGACTGTATTCAGTGAACTCCCTACTGGTTCAAATGAGATTATTTTTTTCCCCAAATGCTGTAGGCTGATGGAAGACTTTAGAAAATTTGCATTTCTAACAGTTTGGTGCCTTTTTTTAACTGGCAATTGGAGCAAAAAAACCCCACTTCTACATTTCAAGGAGATTTACAAGACTTTCGTTACTCAACTCTGTGAAGTAATTCAAAATGTGTATCATATCTGTGTGACAGAAGGACATAAAAAACCCTACATGCAACATATAAGAACTTTCAGAACAAACTTACCAATCTGTAACAGGTTCTGGCTTGCTTGGCTCCTCTACAATGCTTGACACTAGCCCAAACATATCAGGGCCATTGCCAGAACAAGAAAGATTTATTGGTGCCCTGAAAAAAAAAAAAAGCAATAAATCTTTAATTTATTTTAGCAGCATCTGCTAAGGGTTCTGAATTTAATGTATTCTCAGAACCCATACACATAAATCTCTTCCTGCATTTGTGAATTCTATAGCCTAAATGAAGTAGAACAATTTTCCTAACTTCTTGACTTCTCAAGCTGTTATGTGAAGAAACAGGAGCAGCGAAAGATTTTCCTCTCTTTTCAATCAACACAGCTATTTTATAGACATTTCTTCAGATCTGGACTGTCTCCTTTAGAGGGTAAATATGATCAATCTTCTCAAAATCTTGAGAATTCTAATTTATCTACTTCCATAATTCAAGAACTATTATTTTAATCTCCCCTTCAAAAATTAACTTGTTATATTTAAGTTGAACCACTTCTTAATCCCTTTTTAGAAAGGAGTTGGTCAAAACTTTATTAAATATTCCTGATAAATACCAAAGGTGTCCAACCATCACTGCTCTTACACAAGCCCAACTTTCACCTTTTACTTCAGGTGCAAAATGAGATCTTTACAGAGCTGTCTGTAATGACACCTAACTCTTACTCAGAAGTTAATTAAAACATAACACTGTTAAGACCTCCTTCCCTCTAACATGCATTGTTTTGCTTCAGTAAATTTCACTCATCATCCTATTCTCACTCAGCTGATTCATTCCAGTGTCCCTGAAGATCTCTCAGTCTTCCCTGGTGTCAGCTTATCCAAACAACTACATCCTCTGCTAATGCTGCCACACAACTCCTCACGCTGATTTGGCAGATGAATAAAGACTGTAAAACACGGGATAAACTAGTAATACTGTCACCTTGTTAATCTCTTGCCGCAGTGAAAATTAGCCGCTTACGCCTTACTAGCTTTTACAACCTCACCACATTTTGACTTCTACCTACCTCTATTATTTACTTCCTGACCATTCAGTTTCCTCTGTAAGGAATCTGGTCTACGTGAGTTTGTTTAGGATATACATAAGTGCAAAGACTGTTGAAAATGTTTTATGAATGTAAGACTGTAACTGATATTTGATAACTAGACTTCTTCTGTGTCTTTGTCAGATGGCAATTTCTTTTTTTTTCCTGCAACCAACTGAAGATCGTAGATGAAAACTTGCATCTACATGATGATTTTCAGCAAGGGAGAGATCAGAGTCAATTAACAATGTGGCACAGAAATTAAAAATAAAATTAATGGCCATTTTAGGACTGCAGACAGGGCAGCAGAAGCTGAGTGGACTACAAAAGAAAAAAAACAACTAGGAAAGAACAAGCACAGGACAGCAGCAAATCTAAAATTTCCCAAACAAATTTTAAGGACTAGATGGAAGCGAGATGAAATGTTTAGCTGTTCCTTCTGGTATGTACACCAGAAGAACTACAATGCAATTTGAGGCAGAAGAACCTGAATCCTTGACAAATTCTACTTCTTAATGTAGTCACTTGTTCAAACGAGGGACTAGAAACACCTCCCCCTGTGTCTCAAGCCAGTACTGTTCACTACCAGCAATCTGAAAATTCTTGGTAATGTAATATGCTAGAAAGCATCTTGTATCATAAAATCCTGATCCACCCTGAAAGGAAGATACTTCCCATGAAACACACTGACATACATGGAAAAGAAGTCAACTACGTTCTTGTCTACTGGTCTCCAAATAAAGTATCTGCTATCAACAACAGGGCAACCAAAGTTAAAAACAAAAATCCCAGCATAACAGGCATCCAGTTTTCCCAAGTCAAAGGTAGGCAGCTGTTATCCTTTCTGGTTTGGTACCAGAAAACGCTTGCTGTAAAATCCCTGGATTCTGCAGCATCAAGGAATCAAATTTTTACCTCCCAGTGCTATAAGACAACTTACTGCCTATGGAGGCAGAGCAACGCGAAAAGAATCCACGAAAATAACCAGCACACAGGAAAGGTAAAACCATACCAAATTGCTTGCAGCTATACCAAATAGCATAGGAACATCCACCCTGACACCAAGTTTGCGGCAGCGAGGAAGCCTGCCCCTGCAGAGAGTGAAAGAACAAGAAATAGGACGAAAGAACCAAGACCTACAGCTCCTCGGTAAAACTCCCAAGATAGCAGCGGGAGGAGGAGGGCTGCAGAAGACGAAAGACCAACAGGCAAATGGAAATGGTACCTTTGCCACACGCGTGTGCTGTTCTGGCTGTTGTGATTAACTCTAGAACTGAAGCTGGGGACGTGTCCGTAGCCTTTGAGGACAGAAATCAGACGGAACTATTGCCTTCCTTTGGGGAGACGCTACATTTGAGAACATGCTGGACTTCTTTAGAGGTGCCAATAACTTCATCCAAGCTAGTGCTGCACAAGGATGGATTTTCAAATGGCCATTGCTCAAGAGAAGTTTGTGGCACCAGAACACACGTCTAACAAAAGGCCTATGTATAGGTTTGAGGCACCGGGGCTCCCAGAATTTATTGTGAAATAATTTCAATGGCCAGAAAATTGAGAATTAAAAGGACAAAAGCATGAGCAAAGTTACACTGCAAAGAAATCTCCAGTGATGGATTAGTTGCTCTCACCAAGCAGCTTAGAAGAACTAAAATGACACAGGTGTACTGCACCTAATACAGTGAGGCACCAAGTACCCTAAAATATCACAAGAAAAAAAAAAAAACAAACCAATTTTTTTTTTAACCTTAAGGACTAGTGCATATCTGCAGTCTCAGAATGGGTGTACACATGGATTATCATTAACAGACAAGTACCATTTAGTTGTTTAATTCTTTAAATCACCTTTTTTTTAAAAAGAAAAGCTTCCTTGCATTTGCTACTTTGCAATAACCTAAAGGCTGCTTTTAAGAAGAGATTGTATATTTTCATTAGTGGATTGCCAGAGGTTAAAATCGGCACTTATATCTTTTATTAAAAAAAAAAATATATATTAAAAATAAACATCTCTGTGACACTTCCCAGAGAAGACTAGCAAAAAAAGCCAAGGTAATAGTATTTAGCTTCTTTGTAATGCACGTATCTTCCTTAACAGTTACCTTTCAGCATCTTGTGAACCAGTGAACTACCATTTCTGCCCACCTCAAACTTTCTCTTTCTTATCAGGCAAGTGATAAAAAATGCAATGAGATTGGTATTAGAAATGCCAACAGCGTCTTCATCGGTGCCAAAAGCTGCTGTGCCAGTCTGTACCAACCAGCCTCCCAAAAAAGGCAGTATTATATTGCCAGCACTTGGCATTAAGATGGCAAAAAGAGATTGGGAAGCCTAATATGAAATCATCGTTTACACATTTCTAAGGCTGCAACACAGAAAACATTACAATTTCAATTGCTGTACACAAGGTATAAAATTATCAATACGAAGGAGAGAACCAATTATTTTGGTGGGTATCCCCTAGTTGCTAGACTGGGAAATAATCATTCCCTGTTCCTCGCAATCCTCGTCTCATTCATAATTTTACAGAAATCATTCCTCTGCAGAGCTGACTTATCAAAACCGAAGAGTAGTTTTATTTACTCTCCACGGACATGGAAGCTTTCAAACCCCTGCCTAGCCTCACTGCATTTCTCTCTACCTTTAATAATTTTACTGCATTATTAAGACTGGATGATCAGAAGTGCCTGCAATAGTCAAGACTTGGGCAGAGTGGATTTCTCCAGGGGAATAAAAATATTTCATAACTCAAGTAACAAAGACCCTTTGCATTCATTCAGCACCCAAAACTGCAAAATTAGTTATTTTTATATAAAATCCAACTTGGGCGCATTAGATCAAGGGCACAACAAGACAGTAGGCTGGCGTATTTTCCAGAGTAGCTCTACGCATATTTATGCTTTCAGCAGCAGAGGAACCATTTACGCTCGACCTGTGTCTAACACTCTCTGCATTGTTCATGTTCCAGGAACTACTCTGCATTACCAAGCAGGATCATTATGAGCTACGGTACCGCGGGACTGGAGACACGGAAGGAGAGTGGGTGTTTTCTTTAAGGAGTTTTCAATTACATATGGCAATTTTCCATTTCATTCCCTAAAGGTAGTATTCTTTCCAAATTTTAAAATGTTTTTACATGTAAACACACACAGCTATACACACACAGGCCCCCTACCTTTTTTCACAACCTCTATGATAACTATGATACGGCAAAGAAAATTTATTGAGTTTCCAGTTATCCCATAAACTCTTCCTAAAAAGATCCAGAATCCCATTTGTTCTGCTCCATAGCAATTTCAGTGTTCCAGAACACCACCATAAGCTTATCCCAAGAATGCTCATACCGTTTCTTTGTGCAGTCTTGAAAAGAAGTTTTTGAGCTAATATCCTCTCCACACGCTGACCAGTCGCTATACAGACGGGAAGATTCTAGCGGAGGTGGCGTACTAGTAATTGCTCCTAATAATGGGGAAAATAATTGAGTGTCCATTTTTTGTTTCTTGCTATTTACCTATGTTGAAAAGAGAAGGAAACATTTTTAACATTAGGTGTTTATGGAAATGAGCAGTAAAGGCAACAAAGCAAACTCCTCCTTTTATATCTTGAGCTAAATAATTTTTCAGGAAAATGGAACATGGCTATGACAAAAGGGATACAGCCTAAAACCTGTTCCCTCCCCTGCCTTAAAGTAGTCCCAATCTGACAAATTTATGCATCTTCTAAAAATAAGTAAGTAAATAATAAAAATTACTTACTATACAATAAAGGGAATTCTCTACAGATTTCACATTGCAGGTGTTTGCGCATCACGTTCACAAGCTCAGAATCTTCTAGCCTATATGACTGGAAATGCACATATCACAGGCATACACATCCCTTCCGAGAAAACAAAGGGAAGAGCAATTATCCCTGCTATATCCCTGAAAACACAAAATATCCCAACACAGAGCCCACGGTGAGCAGGAAGGGACACTTGTAAACTTCACAGAGCAAAATGAGGGTAAGAAAAGTAATCTGTCCTTAAAAAAGACTATTATAGATAAATTATTTATTCAAAGGATTAATAATAGGAGTTCTAAGTAACACGGGGAACTGTACCTCATGAGGTATCTCGACTAGGAATTGCCACAACAGAACCTGTGATTGACAAAGGTTTAAGCAGAACATCAGAAACCTACCTTGAGTTGGAAGGGACACCTCTGAGGTCTTCTAGCCTAATTCCCTGCTCAGAGCACAGCCAATTAGATCAGGCTACTCAGAAACTTGCCCAGCTGAGTTTTGAGATCCCACCACTTCCTCTCTGGGCAAAATTTTCTAATATCTAACTGCTGTTGTGATTTAAAAAAAAGTATTGAAAATAGTCTGGACCGCTGTCTCTATAACCTGCCATAAGGCAGCTGCACGCACCCATAAGATCTTCCCTTTCTCTTCTCCAGGCCGATCAGCCCCAGCTCTCTCTCTGCCTCTCCTTGCGCATCCCATTCTCCAGCCCACAACCATTTTGTAAGCCTCTGTAGGACGCGCTCCGGTACCCTTCGTGCACTGGGGAGCCCCAAACTGGACACAGTACCCAGCTGTGGTCTCACAAGGGCAGAACAGAGGGGATTATAGCAGCGCTCACTCCTCTGGCTGCGCGCCTGCTGAGACAGCCCGGCACAGGGGTGGCCTTCTCTGCTGCAAGCCCTCACTGATTAATGTCCAACTTGACCACCACGACTCTCGATCCTCGTTGATTAAATTTCGCAAGTTTTGACTCTAGGAGTAAAACCTCAAGCTTTCTTGGAAAAAAAACCCCAACCTTTTATGATAGAGAACGGAACTAGGTGCCCTTTAATCCTCCTAAGTAAAGACATCCAGTGGTTCTGAAAATAACATTTGGGAGACTCAAAAAAACCCAAACCAAAACAAAAACAACCCACCAAAAAAAAAAAAAACAAACCAAACCAAAAAACCCAAAACCAACAAAAACCAACCAAAACCCACACCACCACCACTCCAAATCGCCCCAAACCCCAGATGTATCAGTGGCTGCAACAGGCCGTGGGATTGGATGCAGACTGGAGCCGACTGTAGCACCCAGCCCTGTGCTTTCCTGAGGCCCCCAACTGACAAAATTGTCCTAATGAGAACATTTAGCAGCATCTGTTCCCACCCAGTTCTAGAACCATTTCTTCGTAAACTGAGGTTCTTATAAGCACAAAGAGAAAAACCACCACATCAGTTTGAAAGAATCTATTGAGAGGATTTCCTATTTCAAGACATATTTCATTGAAGATGTTGCCTTTCAGTTTCTTTGAGTAATTCAACCCTTCTTCCTGAAACAATTTCTGAATTTGTTTTGTGTTCTCGGCAAAAAAAATGGTCAGTAGGCCAACTCGAAAAATAAACTCAAAAATAAACAATATTTTGGGGGGGAAGGGAAGAAAAAGGAATCGCTTCCTTACAAATACTAATATATTTCATCTTCAGCCCCCAAAGAGTGCATGAAGGTGCCACCACACAGCCTATTAATATATGGACTGGGAGAATGGAAAGAAATTACAGATTAAATGACTGGAAGTTCCAATGTATTTACACATAACTAAGATGACTTCTGAGGCCATGAGACAACCTGGAAGTTGCTTGACGATCCCCAGCTTCACTTGGATGTGTCAGTCATAAAAGCTTTCAACAAAAGCAACAGGTTAAGAAAAGGTGATGTTGTGCCTGTCACTCCTCCAGCAAACCCCTCCTGCTAAGCAGGTTTTCCCGTCCTTCCAAGTCTCTCATTGCAGAGACATGGAAGGGCGCAGTGCTAGGAAGTTAACGAGCAGGAATTTGCGGAGCTGCTGCTGGTAGATGTCCTGCGTGTACAACCTGGCAGCAGGAAGAGTTCTGAACGTACTGCAGAAAAAAAGTGTAGTTAGCTTAATCTAAGACCCTAATATTTAGAAGCTATGCTGAACTCTGCATACCTGGCTGCTGAGGATGGACAGCAAGACCTTTTTTAGGACTATAAAGATAAAATTAACTTCTGTCACATTGTTCGTTGTAAATACAGCTGGAATAGGTACAAAAAAAAATCAGATTCTAATTTTTAGCCAGCTAAAAAAAAGCAGCTCTTTCATCAGGATGATCAAACTAGCCTTGGATCAAACAAATGAAACCATTTGCTAAATCCTTATTGAATATCTGCAGGAAGATCTCAACCATGTACTTATTTTTGAAAAGGCTAAGAAAAACACAACATGAAAGGAAAAAACAGTGCTACAGTGATGACTGGGTCCTCATACTTAAAAACATTTCTAGTGATCTACTAAACTCCCATTTTATTGCTTCTGAGATGAAAGTTGCATTGTCCCTAGGAACCATATTGCCAACTCTGGGAGACTGGTGCTTACTACTGGAGAAAAACCGCTGAAGCCCTGAACAAGCCAATAGAAAACAGGGGGTTTAAGGGAAATTTACACTGTCTGAATTCAGCCTCATGCATTCAGTCTGTCTAGAGCCACTTTAAAAGTTTTTTTATAGCTAGAGCTTTTTAGAAGTTACTTATACCTAAATAAACGAAAAGAACAAAACTTCAATATTGATCATTTCACTGTCTCATGCCCCATCCTTTTAAAAGAGAAAATGCTAAGTTAATTTGCTTTTTCTCTCTCTCCCCTCTTTTCTCAAAAGTACAACTGTAAAATCTTGCTTACTACAAATCCTGGGCCGGAATTTGGTTTAGTGAAAGCTGTCACAGACTTGGAAGATCTCCCTTCCTGGGTCTTGTCTGAAAAGGTAGTACAGAAATATTACCCGGCCAAGTGTGGTCCTACCATGGGCAGGCCAGCACAACCTTTTAACACTGTAGGGCACAGGGAATTTTTTGAACAAAAAAAAAAAAAAGAAAAAAAAGAAAAAAAGGTTTACACAGAGGGCTTATCAGTTGCAATAAACTTGTCTTACACATCCAAACAAATCCTTATTAAATAACAGAAATGGAGGTAGTATCACCCTGTAGAGGACAGACACATATCCTGTAACATTCCATACAAACACACTGCCAATATCCATGTCAGTAAATCAACAGAGGCAAGCACAACCTCCTGGCCCAGAGACTAAATGGCACGGCAGCCCTCCTGTGACACAGGTAAACTCTGACCCTGCAGAAGAGGAGGAGGGTGGTATCCAAACTATCTGCTACAAATGACTCCTGAACCACACACAAGTATCATTTAGGAAAGCAGTAGCTGGCCAAGGCCAAAATTTTAGCAACAATTTAGCAGTATCAATAAGCACATGCCAATGCCTGGGCCCTCCTCTTATTTAGTCTACTAAGAAGCAACACACTGAGATAAATTATGCTCCTTGGCTAGAGTATAAAATACTTTTGCATAGATTAAAAATAGGATCTGTAACTAATGGATTTATCTTTTATTTTCAGAGCCATTAGTCACTGTTAACGTGAGTTGTGCAGGACAATGTGACTGAAGATCAGTACAGGAGGTTCTTCGTGTACCCTAGATACAGCCTCATCGCTCAGCACTCCCAAAACACTGGAGACTGTCATTCTACCTAATTAAACAAAATTTCAAAATAACTGAGACACTCCCTTCCGTGCTTTACATATGAACTGCTAACAAGTTACAGCAGAAAAGAAAGAGGGATAGAACAGTGTGTTGTCTCCTACAGTTTAAGTTTCAAAATTCCTCGCTGAATTTCAGCTACAGTGATAAATTCCACAACTGCTTTGCAAAGAAAGGACTGCCTGCAGTGGCACAGACGTGTTTCGCTTAGAATTCCAACCTTAAAAAAAAAATCAATGAATGAAATGCTGTCTCAAAAAAAAAAAAAATCAAATGAAAACTCCTACGGTCTTCAGTAGGGCTTCTACTTCATTCTTTCCACCCTGCAAATCATGGGAAAGCCGCTGCTCTCACTAAATTACCTCTCAAAACAACAACAAAAACAACACCCTTACCACATCTAAAACCTAGATCCGTTATCTCAATGGACTTTTTTTCTTTCAAAGCATAACAAGGCACAGCTTCTATTCTCTCCTGTAAAATGGAAATATGCATGTACTAAACTCTCTCCCTGCTTACGAAACTGAACACACTTTTTTCCAAGACATCTAACACTGTTATTAAGTTACATTTTATCTTCAAAGGCACGCAGAGGGCTTTTAACTTCTGCAGGAAGCTCATCACAACTGAGGAGTAAACAAACCGAAGCATTTACCAAAAAACACTATTTCCAACAGCATCATGCAGTTCTTTGTAGTTAGAAGTTCTTCCAAAGTTTCGTTTATTTGAGGAGAAATAAATGAGTAACACTTCATCAGTATAATGTTAACATTTCAACTATATATATATATACATACATACATATATATATATATATATATATGAAACTAAATAGTATCAAAGCTATTAGGCACTGATATTGTTATGGTATCTCTGAGTCCTGTTCTCCACTACACACCGACTCACTTTTTGCTACCTCGCTCCTTTGTGTTTCTGC